AGATGATAAGAATCTCAAGAGAAGAGACAAGAAAATAGAAGAAACCAAATGATGGAATTTTATCTATGGGATTTAAGAATTGATGGGAGGCAGAAGAAAAAATACAAAAATAGTTTGATTATGGTTAAGTAATGGGTTGTTATTTTTGGTGATGCTTAATGGTTATTTTGACTGGATAATTCTTTTTTGGAAATGTCTAATTGGGTGTAATGGATTAATTTGTAATATCTACATTACTGTTTTTGATATACAAATAAGGGATTATTTTTTCTGTTTAATAGTTTTCATTTTTCTGTAATGTTTAATTGTTAATTGTGATTAATGATGGGTTGCTATCTCTGGTGATGATTAATGGTTATTTTTTATCTTTTTATAATGTTTAATTGTTAATTGGGATTAGATTTTGATTATTAAGAAAGGAACTAGGGGTTATATTTAAATGGAAAGGGGGACTAAATGTTTAAGCTGTTAATTATGTTTGTTAACCTTTACACCTTTTTTTGATTAATAAAAGGCATGTGCCGCCTTTCCTGAACCCCCCTCAGAGCTGAGGATTTAGAGTATGGAATGAAGATGTATTTGGTAGTAATTTAAGAGACAGTGATGAGTGTTAAAGTTGTATATACTTGGGGGAAGTTTCTTCTGGGGGGGATTTTTTTTTTCTTTTTCTCTCCACTTTTTTTTTTTAATTGTAATTTTGTATTAGGTTTTTGTATTCATTTTATCTGTTCTATATAATCTTTAATAAAATTATTGAGGAAGGAAAAAAAAAAAAAGAACAGACCTCATAGCCTTCAGGCACCAGGATAAGACATTCACAGCATTGCTTAATTTGCCAGGGGCAGAGATGTATAACTGGGTATCATCAGCCTACTGATGATACCTCACCTCATGGCAACAGATGAGCTCACCCAGTGGCCTCATGTAGATGTTAAATAGGAGAGGGGCGAGTACCAAACCCTGCAGGACCCCATGGAGTAGGAGCTGAGGGCAGGATCTCTCCTCCCCAACGTCCACCTCGAGTGCCCATTCTAGGCATCACAGTTTTAAGAAGAATTCAGAGCCTTAGAAATGGACAACAAATATGATCTGGGGATTAGAAATAAAACTCTATGATTCGTGAACTGAGAATATTTAGATTAGAAAAGAGCAGCCTGAGGGAGAATATGATAGCATTTTTCAAATTCATTAAAAAATGATAAGGACCATTCTCTATTGTTCCACAGTGCAAAACATGGAACAATGGATTTAAGTGACAGGAAGGCAGATTGCACCTGAGGACTTATCCTCATGTCCTACTAAATATGGCAGCAGATGTCTCACTAACCATCCTTGTTTCATTCCCAGCCTACTATGGAGACAGTCTATGTTGTCTTTAGTTGTTCCAGTTTTAAAGCTGTGTTTTCCCAGCACAAATCTAGTCATATTGTATGAACAATCTACAATGCCTTATTAATGATTTGTAATAATGTGGTCAGGGACTGGGAACTGCCCAGTTCCCATTGGCCACTTGAAACTATGGCAGATATGCAGTTTCCCTGTGATTGCTTGGATCCTGTGCCAGTTTTGGCTTGGACTGTAGAAGAGATTGGACACTTGGTTTCCACAGATGCATACACCTCAAAAATTTCTGACTCATCTTTTATAAAGTGCCATTCAGGCTTTACATAGGCTTTTTATGTACATAGGTAGCACTTTTACTCCAATGCCATTCTGCATATTCCTCTGACTACTTTAGAGAGCTACTCTCTGCAGCCATTTCCTGACAGTGATTATCAATTGCTTCCTTGAACCTTACTCACAGGTTGTACATATAGGAGGAAGGTGCTGGGTAACAGGAAACAGAGTTCTACTGGTGTGTTGGATGAACTTGCTCCTACTTCAGCCCATTTTTCTTCAGCCATACATGATATTTTCAGTTACTTTTAGTTGTGGGAATAGAGCTTTTCTAGAAGAGCACTAGACACACATGTTTAAACAAACAACTGGATTTTTTTTCAGAACACCTCTAGAGATGTGTTCAGAAATAGACTAAGTGAAATGTAACTAGTGACTCTTATTTGGGAATGTGACTAAACCCTCTGACCCAGGTACCCATTTACATTTGCTCCCCACCATCCCATCACACATTAATGAGTGCAACTTGGCATTGCTCTTCCTGATAGCATATGACTACTTGATGGAAGGGAAACAAAGCCAGACAATCTATCAATCACTTTCCTTTAATTGGATCAGCATTCTTACTCAGACAAATTAAAGCTTAGCTGTTGGGTCAGCACAATTTATATCAGTAAATCAAATCATATAGACTTCCCTGTTGACTCAGAGCTGTAAAAATACATGCTGATAAGGCCATGAGGAAGGACCACAAATGTTAAATAAAAAATAATAAAAGCTTCCTAACAATAACAGCAATTCACCAGTGAAATAAATAATCCAGAGAAGTAGTAGGCTGTATTTGTATGTTCAAGCAGAAGGTAGACTGTCATATGTCAGGGAAACTTTGGATTCATGCATTCAACAGGGGGGTTGGCCTCAGTGGCATAAATGGTATATTCCATCTTTTAGATCTTATGATTCTATTCACCTTGCTGATGCATTAAGATATTCTACCATCAGATAGGATACCAAAAACCTATTAACCATGGAAAATTTCATCAATGAACTAATTTATTAAGCTATTATTCACCACTCTTAAAGCATAATGTCAGTTTTTAGCCAGGTTCTTTTAATTATTTTTCTCTGTTGGTGTACATACTCTGGATGAAGGTGAAGAAGTAAGTAGTGAGTAAACTAAATCTGGAGCTTTATTATGCGGATTCCTAAAGAGTAGCTATATTAATCTGAATTATTTTTCTTTTTATTGGATGAGTGATTGGATTGAAAATATTTCCTGCAGCTGGGTTTTGACTTTCAAAATTCAAATTAAAAAACTAAATTGATTATGTTCTACAATAATATTTATTGAACAGGTTTCATTAGACAAGAAACCTGTCTTTCAATGTAATAACCTAGGAAATCTTTCTCCTAGTATTTTTATTTATTCAGATGGGGTCAGACTAAACCATTGTCAGGACTATTAAATATAGAATAAACTTTCTATCACTAGTGTCATTAGGAAACACTACTAACATTACCTGAAATTTGATTTGAGTTCAGATGTAGAGTGGATTATACAGTATATATGAATGCTAGATCTATATTTAAACATTGCTAAAATTGGATAATTCTAGTAGCATTGCTGTTTTATACAGATTTCTCAATTGTCTTACAATATACATGTGCATATACATTCCATAAACAGTATTTTACAAGTGCCTAATTGCTGGCATTTTCCTATATTAACTATCCCCGAAACACTAAATAAACATGAGGTAATTTGTTCACTGTTGCAAGATTTAAAGACTTTTGAAAGGAGGGTTGCCATAAATCCTTACTGTAGGACTCTGACAAATGAATAATTGATGACAACAAATTGATGACAACAAATGGTCACACAGAACTTTGTGGAATCCCTGGAGATATTGGAGACTATTCAGAGAGCTTTCTGATATTCATGAGGGGAAAAAAAAAAAAAGGCTCAGGTGAACATAAACTATCAAGTATTTTTCCTAAGCCTGATTCTGTTATCAGAAATTGCTTTCAATAAACTGTTTAAGAGGATAATATGTATTATGAGTAGATACACGGTGCTCTGCTACACATTTACCATTTGCATATTCATTTTTCTGCTCTGAATAAAATTAACTCAGAAATATAACTAAGCCCTGACCATCATGGATTTTGAAAATTTGCATATGGTTGCGGTAGCAAGGAAATTGTATGTGACCAAAGCAAATATAAGCAAATACTATATAAAATTTATTCCTATCCTCGCTCCGAAACCTTTCTCACTTGATTCATTTTCAGCCCATCATTTTAATTTACCAAAAACTGACAGCAATTAAAGAGTAGACTTGCATACAAAGCCTTTGTGATTAGTGCAAGACATGTACTTTGATTTTTGAGATAACAACTGGTCGTCTAAATCAGAAAAAAAAAGTTGAAAATTTACGCCACATAAGGGAATATCAGTGCTATGAGGTTTAGAAAAGCTGGCAGTGGTCTGTCTGTGTTCAAGAAATCAGTAACCAAATATATACATTCTTAGATTTTTAAGTTCAAATCCTTCAATAGTGTTCCCAAATATGCAATTTAACTTGGCCAACTCCTACCAAAGTGAAGGTGCCTATTTATAAATAAAGATTAGACTGCAAAAATAATATCTTAAAGAACTTGCCAAATATTTTAGTATATGAGGATGTAATACTTAAGATACTTAAACCCATTGGGGGAGATGGGCGGCATACAAATTTAATCATAAATAAATAAATAAATAAATAAATTTTTAACGGTAGAAAAAAATGCCAAACCATTACTGTAGCTTATATAAATTATAAACTGGAACTAAATATAGTTAAATTGTTATTGTGTCATAGAACCATATTGAATTATATATAATTTCCAGATAATGTTCTAGTTTAAGTTGTCTACATTTAACATGAAATCTTATTTTTTAATTAATATTCAATTAAATCTACCCTTAAACTAAATTGGTACCAGTGGTACAGATGTATTAGTATTTATTATTTTTTCTTAAGGTATATCAGTATAGCAGAATAACTAAAAGTAGTTTATTATTCATTTTTTCATTGTTGTTGTTGTTCCAACTAACAGGTAAGATATCTAATATCTAACCAATACTTTTCAGTGCTACAGTATTGTAATGTAACCATTGTAATGGAATTACAGTTCTGTAATATTATATTAGGGAAGCTATTCAAGTACAATTAATTTAATTTCAATTGTTTTAATCAAAATATACTTGTAATGTTAATATTATAAAGCAGATCAGCATGTTACATATCTTATAATAATGAACATATTATAGTTACAACAGCAGCATTAACTATAATACTTTAACATTTATCTGTGCACTTTTCAAAATATTAGGTACTTACCAACCCCAGAAGGTACAACTGGAAGTGCAGACCCTGGCTTTTCCTTTAGTGCTTGGATTAAACAGTTTACTATTTTCCAGTCAGTGTTTAAATCCTCCAATTTTTTCTAAAAGGAAAATATTTTAAGCATATTAAGTATATTAAAAGTTCCATAAAGATGTAGTATTTTAAAATAAATGTTTCACCTATGTAATTATTGCTTTTAATTTCTATTCTATTAAGGTAGCATTTAAATCCACTTGGTAATTAATAGTTCATTTCTCAGAAAGAATTATGGAGTTATAATAGTTGATAATCTAATCTAATCTAATCTAATCTAATCTAATCTAATCTCATGCTGAGATAAAGCTTCAATATTATAGTATCTTCAATATTATTGGATCATTAGAAGGCAATCCAACATGTGTTTTACAAGTCTCTAATGATATTAGAAGCCAGTCTATTCAGTTTCAAAATTATTTATACTGTCTTTACAATTATTTTGCATGCCTATTTTGTATCCAGAAGTATAAATTCTGTGCACCAAGTAAAGTAAAGGTAACAGTGGATTAAGAGATGAACTGCTGACTGAATAGCAGCATCACATCAAATACCTTTTATAGAGAATTTTTTTAAAAAAATTCCTGCATCAAAATTGAAGTAAAGCATTAAATCTTCTTGTGAGCATGAGTAATCTTACTTTGTATATCCAGAACAAAGACCCTCTGTTGAACTGCTTGCACAGCTTTGACGAGTCTGGTAATATTAAAAATTGAGCAAAAGGGCCCCAAAAGGAAATAGTCGGGAAATAAAAATATAACCTCCCCCGCCCTTTTTCCTATCAAGGCCAGTAACTGCTGCTGTTTATTGGCATATGAGCATATCTTTTCCTTCCTAAATTCCCTCAAGTCCAGTAAACAGAATTCCTTCCCTTTTCCCTCACATAGTATCCACAGAGAATGAAGACCACTTTTTTGTCTTCTCTGATCATGTTATAGAATTCGAGATAAGACTACTTTTGATCCAGCAAGGTCAAACAAGTTCTTAGTTTAAGGAATTAATAAATAATTTTAGCTGAAAGCATAACTTTTATGTCTCTGTAGTAAGCCAGACTCCAAATTCTTTAATGAGTTTCAAACAGATCACATCAAGGACAAGTGTGCAACTGGGGAAGTATAATCTATTATGCAGTAATGAGTATTACTAAGGTTGGTTCATTACCGTTACTGGTTGAGTGGCTGGTTTTTCTTTATATAAATGACGCCCTTTAGACAAAATTCCTTCCACATCTGGCTGTTTAGATTTTATGGCTGCTTCAATTTCCTGAAAAAACAAAAACAAAGCTAGAGTGTAGATTAGCTCTACTCTGAGCAATAAAAATCTGAGTCTGAAAGTTCCCCAGGAAGTTGTGTACTGGGTAGATTAGTTTCTTATTAGTAAAATAAAAAATAAAAATAAAAAAAATAGTGAGAGTTTTTTAAAAACCTGAAGCAACAACATCATAAAAGTAGAAATATAAATAGTTTTGGCTACTAATTTGTGAGGGTCTCAGTGACTCAACATTATACAACTTAATCAAAATAAAATTCATACAGGAAATAAGATATATTTGAAAGAATATTGCATAGGAGCAGCTGACTTTTCTGAGACTAAAAAGTTATTAGATGAAAGAGAGACTTTTACATCACTATTCATTACCATTTTCTTAGCTTAAAAAAAATATTGTTTTTAACTGTGAGATATGTGATCCATATTGGGGGGAAAATCAGTATTATAATCATTTGATTAACATTCCTTACTCTATTCATCAGTATTGGAAGATCAGCATTTACCTGTCAGTTAAATAAAAGGAAATAGGAACAATTAATCCATACTAAAGGTCATCCATTTAGGATATGGTGCATCTGAAAGATTCTTTTAGAAAGTTGGGAATGTTTATGGAATGAAGAAACCATACAAAGATAGGAAAGAGCAAAACAGTACAACTGTTCCGTGTTATCAAGCAATGACCTTAAAATCAGACCAAGAACTGAATAGTTCTGCCAAGATAATTACAAGAGATAAGCAATACAGACAGAGCCTGGAATGCTATTGTTAAGATCAAAAGTATAAGACTGCTTTTCTGTGATCAGAACCAGCATTTAGAATCCTATCAATGCTTTCTTGGAAGAGAAGAGATAAGCCTGCTGTTGCTATGCTTATCTAAAATGTGCTCAGTATAGAATTACAGTATATCCCTCATTGCATCAGTCAACTGAGACACAGAAGTTTAAGGTGCAAACACATTACAAAACCTACTTTAAAATAGCTATGAAACCTCTATATAACAAGATAAACATCAGTTTTCTTCCTCTCTTTTTCATACGAAACTATTCAGAAACAAGTTTTGATTAAATTTTCAGTTAAACAATTACAGAGAAGCATTAAACAAGTAAAAACTATTTCCTCCTCCTCTTCTTCTTCCTCCTCCTCTTTTTCCTCTTCTTGCTCTTCTTCCTCCTCCTCCTCAGCACAAATCAGTCCACTGCAGGATAAAAGCCTCTTCACTGAAGATTATATGCTGTAATTTACCATGCTGGTAAATAGATTTTTTTTTTTTTTAATTTCCCAACTAGGGCTGAGAGAGATGGACTGGCCCAAAGTCACCCAGCTGACTTCCATGACTAAGGAATAATGAGAATCTGAGATTCCCCACTGCTATCCAACACTAGGAGAGGATGCAATTCAATAAAGTAGTTTGTGTAGAAACCCTTAGACCAGCTTCGGTCTTGGGCTAAGATTCATCACTTGGCCTTAAAGTCTGTTATTCCTGAGCAGTAGAGCACCTTTTGTTGCCTCTTCTTCACTGTTTTCTTGAAGTGGTTCTTTTTATCCTGTGTCTCCATATCTCCGTATCTCCACATCAACTTCTTTAAGGTTGCCAAACAAACAAACAAACAAAATCCCTAATAACCACAAGTTTGGAGGAGAAAGGCTTTGTATGAAGGAGGTACACAACAACTGGATTAGCATGATATCTTAAGCAGTTTTAGTTGGAATTGTTTTAATTAAAACTGGATAAGCTTGGTTACTTTAAACCTAGGTGAATTTGGGTGAGGAGGGGGAACAAGCCTTGCCCATTTGGTTAATTTATGCTTCAATTAACCCAGAAAATTGGGATAATTTGGTAACTAAGCTAAGCAAGCACATAGCATAAGATCCCAGCAGGTTGTTAGCAAGTTTATGCTGACAATAAATGTTTATAGACATTTAGAGTGTTTGGCAGTCTTTCTTAGCATCTAATGTTTTATTGCTGTGGTAATTAATGTCAGGAGCAGCATCTAGAATCCACAGGCAGTTGCTAGGGTCTACTGGGTCTGCTATCTGGTAACCTGCTGGTCTCTTTGCCACAGAAGCTATGGCTGGGAAGCTATTCCCCATCTTGATTTTTTATCAGCATCCAGTTCTGTCTCATCGCATAAGACTTCTGGGTAATCTGTCCTCAGAATGACATCATGAGAGCCGTAAAAGAAATGACTTAAGCCATTCACTGTGGCATAAATTCTAGCCAGGATCCTGAATTTATCAGCACATCCAATGTGCATCCATTTGGATTCATGAATTTCAAAGAGACTTAAGTATTTGTGTACTTTAAAAGATGGAGCTTATTTGCAAGGTATGACAATGACATTAAACACTTTAGGCAAACAAAGTTTTCCTTTTCTGCCTTCTTTAGTTCAATTTATCTCTGACAGCTTGTTTTTTTCAAAGATTCGTTCTGGATTGTGCCACTAGCTATTGCACAGATATTTTTTTTTTAAATCCAGTCTCAGTTAAAAAAAAAAAAGTCCTACTGTAAAGTAAGTGTTCATTTTTTTAGAATTTAAGTATATTATTATTAGTAGGGATGTGAAAAGCAATCTGTTTTTGTGAGTTTATTTCAATAATAATTTACTTGATTATTTGCAGAAGATTGTTTCATTTTTCACCTGTTAGTATTTTTTCAGAAAAATTGGAAAGATTACCAAAGAGCAGTAAAATAATATTTCATGTCTATAGTCTTCTATAAATTCAATTTTTCTCTCATATTGTACTGTGTCAAGTATTTTATGTAACTTCCATGTTGAAGACAATGTACATTTTTGGGGGAAATCTCAGGTCCTATTCTTAGTTTATTTTTCCTTCTATTCCTTTTTTTACAAAATGTCAGCTTAATAGTTCTCCAGCCAAATTTAAATAATCTAACAACCTCCATATATCAACCCCCCAACCCCCAATCTATTAAACATACAAACAAGGAACAGTCACCCTAACATGGTTTCAACATAATGAATGGCTACTTGCCATTAAAAGGTGGTACAGCCAAATATCTTAGTGACTGGGAGCAGAAATATGTTCTATTTTTTGTTTAAATTATATTTAGAGTCTGCTTGATTCTAGAACAACCTAGGGCCTTACAGTGAAAAATAACAAAAAGAAGAACCTAGGTGGCCAGACAAGCCATACATCAAACAATCATCTGGGGCTCCACAAACACTCTATCCTAGGGCCTGGGAGAACAGGTTTTTAAAGACATCTAGAACTCAGGGTCTGACCTACATGGATGTCTGAAAGCCTTATGGCTTTTGTAGGACCAGGAAAGTGTATGCAATTCCTAAAGGAGCCAGAAACAGCAATAAATAAAATTGCTATGTGGACTAAATTTTCAGTCATGGACAGGAAGTCAGAAAATAGATGGACAAAGTAAAATGCTGATAAAAGGAGTGTGACATGAGGATGGAACAGGGAAGTGTGCTCATCCTGGGAGTCATGATTGTGGTTTGTGGTTTTGAAGAATAAAAAGGATTGTTGGGAGGGGCTCGGGGCCACATGGCCACAAGCTGTCCAGGTTGACTGCTTGTCCATGCTGGACCTCATTGCAATGGGAATCTAAGTAAGTACTGAATGTTCTGTTTATTGAATTATATTTGCTTGTTGAATTAACACTTAATAAATGCTTTAGAACTTTGAAGTGGTCTGTGTTTCAGTGTGTCTGTCTTTTGGGTTTGATGGGATTTTTCCCCTGACACATCTTTCTTTCTTTTTTTTAGACATACATGTCTACTAGCAAATTCTCACAAAAACATTTTCAAGCTGAGTCTTCAAAAATGGAATCTTTGATTGAAGCCTTTCACTGACAGTGATTAATTCAGTAAGAAGGGCTAATTCCAAACTATATAAAAATTAGATTTCATTCAGTATTAAAAATATTTTTAGTTTTTACCTAAATAACCTTTAGTTAATATTTATCATGATTTTAATGAAAATATGTGTAACAACCTAATTTTAAATAAATTTTCAGCATTTACATTCTATTTAATTTTTTTAATTATACACTCATTCTGTTATTCTTAGTTTGTTATTGATTCTGACAATTAGCTATTTTTTATTACTTTATCATTTTCATTTTATTTTTAGGAAAGAAGAAATGTATGAGTACATGAATGAGCTTCAGAAGATTGAATACTACAAATCTTGATCTAAACTTGGGATAAATACTGACTTTTTTATTTTGTATTGCTTTATTTATTGGATTTATGAACTGCATTTCTATTTGTATATGCATTCAAAGAAGCTGGCATATTTAAAATAAAAATAGAAATAGTAACATTAAAATCAGTCTACAATGGACTAGACAGTGAAAGCTCTGGCAAAAGGATCATTGTAAAAAGGTCTTTTCCTGCTGATCTGCAGGAAATGGCCAGGCAGTTTCATAGCAGAGGAATTGGTTCCTAGGGCAGTCAGAATCTATGCTATTGGGGGTTTTAAAAATGAGCACCAATACCTTTAATTGTGTCTGGTAGGCAATTTGTAATCCTTTCAGATATTTCAGAAAAGCCATGTATCTTGTACCAGTTAGCAGCATGCCACTACATTTTGTACAAATTGCAATTTCCTGACACTTTTCAAGGGTAGGTGTGTAAAATATGTTGCAGTAGGCAAGATGGCCTGGAAGCAAGGCAAGGATATTGGTGCAAAGTCCAACCAGCTTTGGAAGTATTACAGTTGATGTAATAGTCCTAACCGTGCAAGTATCTGCCCTTGATCTTTTAGTGAAAGTGCAACCACTTCTGAAACAATTTTTACCCAAATAGCTGAGTTCAGTTTTCATTGTACCATCCACACTTCTGTCTTGTTTGAATCTAATTTTAGTTTGTTTTCCCTCTGACACCACTATCAAATTAGACCCTTTTATTTTTGGAGTTAAATGGTTGGGACAAGTAGAATTTTATCACCTGTGACTGATATTTTAGCTGGGATATATACTACTAAGCTTCTCCTCTATTTATTCAAAATTTAGAATCTTGCTGAGCTAAAAGAAAAAAGAAAAAGATAATTGCTTCTCAGATATTAAACAAAATGAACAAAATTAATTCTGCATTGTGTTCAATTGTATTTGTCATGACATTTACAAGAATATTTTCCCTATAAAGAAAAATTCTGCTTAACTTTTTTCATTTGTCATCATTATTTTTGAGAAAGGAAAATGAACTTTTCTCCTGTTGGTAAAATTACAGGCAGTAATTTAATCAATTAGTTTGTCACAATTTGTGTTCATTTTATGATTTGTTTTCATTTATTTTCATTCAGTTAGCACCTTTCTCTTTTCTACAAAACCAATGTCATTATAATTAAGTGTATTGTGATAAATAACATGTGCATGGAGATAAGCACATTAACAAGACAGAAGCTTCCCCATACTTATTTCTGTAACTTACCATTGTAATTTGATTTTATATTTACAACTGAATACCACAAAAAGTGACTGAAACACTTACCAATTAAACACTGAAATGAAGTCAGAATAAGAACAACTTGTCACATTAAAAATGAGAATATTGTTCTGTAAATGCTTGATGGAGGGGGACTTAGTTTGCAGCCAAGACTTATCTGATTTTTTTGCCCTCCTTATCTGTAGAAATGTAATGTTGTTGACAGTAGGATTATTATTAAGGCACTAACTATAAGAGAATTAAGAGATAGCTATTGGTATAAGAAATGACATCTCTCTTCTTTCAGTCTACAAATATTCCCATATAGTGAGAGATTATGGCATAATAGTCAGAAGCAATAATGGAAACATGAAGAAAAAAATATGGCAAAAAATATGGCATCTTGCATCAGATGGTAACTGGGTCATTTACGATTTGAGAATGTTGTTGAAATTCCAGGTCCAGAAAATCCATTATCACACCAATCTGTTTGTTATAGGAATGAGATCCTTAGAAAATGAACAGGATGCCTCGTTCCCAACCTGATTACTGGGCAATGATATAGAAGGAGGAGAATAAGTTACTGAGAGGCATCATATCATCATTGGCCTAAACTCCACTAAGTGGTTCAACAGTACTAACAGGACATTCTGTAAGGAAGGGGGAAAAAAACAACAACAACCAAACCCACTCAGGAAGATGTAACACAGTTGTTAGGCTAGTACTTCAACACAGTAGCTGCCTTGGATGAAAATAAGGGAGTTACAATGAGTCCACTGACCTAAGGATTCCCTCCCAAAGTATAGATACACTTGTGCATTCAGTATGATTGTATATCGCAGGAAAACCTTTGTGTATATACCATATGTACTCACACATAAATCCATCTGTGAATAAGCCAATTGTTGAATTTTTAACCAGAATACCATGAAAATGTGCCACCTACAGATTAGGTGACCCTCTAAATTTTCATGTTTTTTTCACAATTGTCTTATCTGTGTCTAATCCATGGTCTATTCTGTATCTACCGTTTTTCATGATATTTTGGTTAAAAATTCAAGGGTCATATGGGATATACAGGTACTTTTAAAAAGTATTACCATATATACTTGTGGAATAGCCCATCTGGGCATAAGATGTACCCAATTTTGGTGGGCTATTTGGGCACCTAAAATTCTTAGATAACCTGCAAGTATATATGGTACTTATATACACATTATTTTCCATGCAAGCAAATACCCTGAAAAGTCCTGGTTCCAGAGGGTCAATAGCATCAAAATGGCAGCTCTACTGGCCAATCAAAGCACCACCCCTTGTGTGTGGCAAGCTTAGAAGGCACACTAAATACCCAAATACCCACCTGCTCCAAGTGCCTAGTTACACTTCATAGAAGTGGAATATGGTTAAAATGGATATTTCAAACTGAAATAACAAAATAGTAAAAAATGAATAATTACAAAATCTTTAAATATCTAAGTAACTGTTTATGACTGCATCATTGTATTTTGTACTACTTTCCATAAAGAAGACAATTTATTATGGAATGGATTGCACAATCTTTACCTAAATCTTTAGAAAAATATCCAAATTAAACATTACCTTAATGTCAAAAGCTCCAGGTTGATCCACTTGATTGTATAGTACCAGTTGATCTTTGATGGGAGTAAGCCACAATCTTAGCTGACTTAAATGTTGTTCAAACTGATTCAAGTTATTTAACATACATTCAATTTCTTTCTCTTTCTCAGGCAGATCTTTGGATACCTTTAAAATATCAGAAATTCATTTATAAGATAAAACTGTAACCCAGCCGTACAATATAGCAACACTGTAACAAAACTGTTTTCTCTACAAAATACGTATATTTAGTATATAATATAGATTTTAATTAAGACTATGCACTTTATTATATCTACACAAACCCACACTATCTATCTCAGCTGATGGGATGATTGAGATACCATAAGAGACTGGGAGGAAAAGTTTACAGGTGGTCCTTGGTTAATAAACATTCATTCAGTGACCATTTGAAGCTATGATGGCAGCAAATACAGAGACTTATGGCTGGTCTTGAAATTTTGGCAGTTGCAGCGGCCCCACAATCACGTGATTGCAATTCAGGTACTTGGCAACTGGCTCACAATTACAACAGCTGCAGCATCCCACGGTCCTGTGATCACCATTTGTGAATGTCACTGCTGGCTTCCAGCAAGCAAAGTCAATGGGGAAACCAGCAGGAGGTCGCAAAGAATGATCATTGTGCCTAACGATCATGTGGGATTCGCAACTGCAACTCAAACTGCCAGAACTGCCATTGCAAGTCAGTGCCATCATGTGATGTCACATTTTATGACTGTGTTGCTTAACGAGAGAGTTCCCAGTTCCAATTACAGTAGTTAACTGAGGACTACCTTGTAATCCTTTCTACCTGCTGTGGTTGTAACAAAATGATACATATAATTAGATTATGAACATATTCTTCAGAACTCATGTAACTAAAAATATCTACTGTGAAAGACAATTAGACATCCTCAGGATCTCTGAAAATCTCTCACTCTCTCATTTAATATACATATAATATAGGTACAGATGTACTTTCTTAATGTGACTGCTTATAGAATAATATTCTATGCCATGCCTGCCCCACTATAGTCACATCTAAAATTAAGTTCATTGATAGAATTTACCTAGGTATGGGCATATTAAGGATTGGATTATAAGATTTTAGTGCTAAATATACTTTGCATATGGCTTGGTTCACACATTCTCATCCTTTGAACTATAGTTTATTTTGAGAATATATTCTATATTTTTACTAAATATTAGCAACTTGAGATATTTAAAAATTCTCAGATGAATATCAGCTGGTAAGAAGAACGTGAGGAAATAATTAAACTTATGCCCTTTCCATTTATATTTAGCAAACAAAAAGCAAGCAAATTAGACATTAAGCTTTAAATTACGACATAGTATAAAGATTTTGCTGAGTTGATAAGGTAGAAGAGATTTAGAAATGACATTCTTTTCAAATGAAGCCTGCTTTGGTATTTTAGATCTGTCATGGCCTGTGAAGGGATGTGCTAGGCGGAAATTAAAGAGAGGGAAATGCCTAATCACTTATTGACATGACCCTGGTGAAAGTATTCATAATGTAATTTAATAATTGTGCAAGCAAAGAATCCATAATCTGTACACAATCTCTTCCTAGAAATATATTGAT